AGGAGAGTGTATTTTTGGTCTGAGAAAATTATATGTGTAGTGAAGTATAAGTGGTTCCTATATATTAAAAGACTAGAGATGGTGTAAATCTCTCTTCAGTTGATTCAAGAGTTATTACTGTAATACTTTTTTTTTTTTTAACAGGTAAAAGCTCGGTCTGCTGCACGGGAAGTCATTGCTACTTATTCAGTCAATGATATATTTATAGAACTAATAATACAGCTTCCATCAAATTACCCACTGGGATCCATAACAGTTGAGAGTGGAAAGAGGGTTGGTGTGGCTGTTCAGCAGTGGCGCAATTGGATGCTGCAGTTGAGCACCTATCTTACACATCAGGTGAGTGTAAAGAAAGCCTTGAATTTTGAAAATAGGAGTCCTGATGATCAAAAAATAATCCTAGTAATGTAGTACCATTTAGATCTATATGTGTGTGTGTGTGTGTGTGTATATATAATCTCATCAGTAACATTCAGAGTGCTACTGAATTGGTCATTTGTATCTTCTTTTCTCCAGATGGACAAACAGAGGTAGAATTAGCTGCCTTGTAAGTCATAATAGATTCTTGGCCAAAGCTGAAAATGTAGGTCTTCTATGATGTAGCCTGGTGTTGGCCATGTGTGGCTCTGCTATCTCAACTAGTGTGGAAAAAAGGCAAATCAATACCTGAAATTCTCTAAAGGACTAGTAGTGGTTGTATTTGCATCCTGCATGCTTAGGAAAAGAATTAAGAAAACAGAAAATGACACTTTAAAGATCACCTTTTAAATGTTCTTAATTGCATTCTTTTCATTGTGAGGGATGTTTCACTATTTCACTTCATAGTTCTGTTTCTAAAGGTTAAGCTACTGTCTGTAGATCATGTGTTAGCTTTGTAAATTACTCACTGTAGAAACCACCTCTAATATCAGTTAGTCTGAAGGTCTTCAGGTAATGCATATATGGCATGTTACATTACTGGGCCCTCTTATCTTCGCTTGTGCTTTTGAGTGCTTACGATATTCAGAAGGGGCTCTCTGATGTTAACAGCTATTTTTATCTCTGTTAGAATGGAAGTATTATGGAAGGCTTATCTTTGTGGAAAAATAATGTGGATAAACGTTTTGAAGGTGTTGAAGACTGCATGATCTGTTTCTCAGTCATTCATGGTTCCAACTATTCTCTTCCCAAGAAAGCTTGCAGGACATGCAAGAAAAAGTTTCATTCAGCTTGTTTGGTAAGTAGCTAGACTACATCCATCTGAATAGACAAAACATCTATTAATAATTTAAAACAGGTATTTTTACTGTAATACCGATTTTACATTGTACTGATGGAGTATCTGGGATGAAATACACTTGTAAATGATTTGCAGGGATTTTTTACTGGAATTTAAGGACACTGAATGAGAAATGAATTTCTATACTTCACAGACAATAACTATGCCTTTCCTGTCCACTGAAGCAGAAGCCAGTACATCCGTAGGGTGTAGCAATGGTATCTTGAATGCCTGCTCGATTAGGAGAATTGTAAAAGGCTCATGCTCTTCAGTAAACTCGATGGTCTTGATATTTAGTGGTTGACTGTATCAAAGTCATTGTAAATTTTGGTCGTATGGTTGACGAGCAAATCTGGAATGAGATGCTGACTGTATTGCCATAGGATGGAAAATTATCAATGTGTTTTAAACCATTCTTTTACTCTCCTAAAATGAGAATCACATATACGCATGTGGAAATTAATTATTATTTCTTTTTAAGAATAATATTATTGTACTTATCTTCATTGGCAAATAATACTCTATAATTAGTGATAAAGCAGATAAGAACTTGACGTTCAGGTTGTGTTCTTGTATTGAATGGTCATATTTCTTTTTCAGTACAAATGGTTCACATCGAGCAACAAATCCACGTGTCCGCTTTGTCGAGAGACGTTCTTCTGAAATAAAACGGTGTTTCTGCTTTCTGTGAGCTACATAGTAAATGAAGAGGAGGTGTTAAACTGTAGGCTGAAAGAAGTGATTGCTTCTTTGAAATAATGTCAATTACTTTGAATTCTTGACTAGTGGAATATGATCCATATTTACCTCTGGACTGTTTTTTGTAAAAGTTTAAAGATTCTTCTTTGATACAAAGAAATATATGAGAATAATTTATTTTAATTTGTATATTTTTAAGGTTAAGATACGTTAAAAACGCAGAAGCAATGCAGGGTTATGTCTGAACAGTGGTATTTAAGCCACAGCATAGTTGTTTCAGATGTCTTTATTTTAGCTATATTCAACACGGTGTTATGCACTCAAGTCAGATCATGCATCTTAATTCATACACATGAACTTACCGTAATAGCTGGTATGAAGACTTGAGTTTTTGATTATAGTAAATGTATGTTTATAATAGTTCCTCTAATAGAAAATAAAATGAATATTGCTGTTGAACATTAAGGTTAAGGCATGGAATTAAGATAATTACTTTATGTTAAAGAATAAAACCTAAACATAGCATTATCTAAATTAAGATGTTTATAAACTGAGCTTTCACCTTGAACAATCTGATTTTTTTTCTTTTTTTCCCAAAAAAGCATCAGCCATCCAGTAACTTAAAAAATGAGAACTAAATCAGCACAGAGGGAACAAAGTCATTCCTGCATGACAGTGCAAAATGCTACCTACTTAATTATAGATAGGCTTTTAGAGAGAAGACTTATGCACTGACATTATTTTAGTTAATGTCTTCACCATCTGCCAAATAAGTCATCACTGAACCTACACTGTACTTCTGTCCAGTAAGGACATGTTGGGTAACTGAGCATAATAACTGTATTGGAATTTAATGTTGTCTGCATTTCATTATTTTTTCCTTGATTTTTTTTCCTCTTTATTTTTAACAGCAGTAGCATACTAATAAGTTCTAATTTGGGTGGTATTGTTCTGTTCTAGATTTCTTGGAAAAGTCAATAAAAGGGGAGGAATACATGAATTTTAGCAGTCTTTGTATTATCTGGATTACTGTGTCTTTCTCTGTGTTGGTAGACTTTCAGAAATTAGTAGTTTAAATATTCATGATGATATTTTTGCATATGCAATTATCTGTACTTGCACCCCTGATCTTTAGATGCTCCTTGTTTTCTCAGAATTGACTCCTTTTAAGGAGACATCTTTAAAACTGTAGTAGAAGCCTGTGTATTTAACATATCGCACTTGCTTGCTAAAAGGAAATTTCTTTCTTTTTTTTTAAAAAAAAAAAAGAAATAAATTATTGGAAACATTAGAACTAGTGATAAAGTCTAACTGGATACACACTGAGGAGCACGCTGTGTTGCTTTCATAATTACTGATACTAAAACTCTGGAATTGTTTTTCTTCCTTTTTCAGAAAAGACTCATTGCAAATAACATTTTTGGTTATCTCTAATTCTATACAGAAATAGTGCTGCATTCTCTGCTCATTTCCTAGGAGAAAGGAGTAGTTGTGCCCTGGCAAAGGTGGGGCATTCATGATGATAGAAAAATCTTTAAAAGATTTAAAAAAAAAATGCTGAATCTTCACCAAGAAGATGTTAGCACAATCGCAATCAACTCCTACAGGACTTTTTGAATAGCACTTGCACTAAAGTTGCATTCAACAGCATGACACCTACTGATTCATGTTTTATTAAGGTATATACAGATGTTTTTCCTTGTCCAGAAGTACAGTTGTTAGATAGTCCATCAGTGTTTTTCCCCCCCTCTTATTACTATAATTATTCTGCCCTTTATTGTTTACTCTAGAACCATACATGCTATTGAGGAGTTGTGATTGATTGTGCTGGATGATTATCTGTGTATTTCTTTTCCTTTCATTACTTCTTTTTAAGCAAGTTCTCTAGCTATAATTACAGAGCTAGATTTACCAACCCTCCCTTTTCTTAAACTTGCAGTTTTAATCTGTTATGTGCTTCGATTGCATCTAAAAATCTTCTGATGTTATGCAGAGCAGCCTTTTTGTTGGTTAGAGCTGTTAACATGGATAAAACTCCTAGCGTGATTTATACACCCAACATTAAAACTGCAGTGTGAAAAAAAAAAAACAACAACAAAAAAACCCAAAACCCCAACCCGCAACGCAATTCTTCGTTAAAGCAAATCGCTGAGCTGAAAACCTCTGTTCTTCGTAAGAACAGTCATCTAAAGAAGTGAACAATAGAGGTAGCATGACTTGCCCAAGGATAGCTTCTGCTGTTCCTTTGCTGTAAAATACCCATACCCTGTTAAGTGTCTTGCATGCTCAGAGACTTTGCCTTTTTCTCTGATCTCTTAGATGAGCTTTTGGCAGGTTGGCTCTGCTCAGGGAAGAATTTTTTTAAGTTCGGAGGCTGTTATGTACAAGAGTAGTGTGTTTGTTTCTGAAGTCTTAGGTGGACTAGTCTTTACAATTCTCCAGCAACCTTCTATGACCTTATGACGCTGAGAAGAACTAGACTACAGTTTATCAGAGTATCACTTCAGGCTGCGCTTCACAACAACCCATGAAGTGCTTGGAGAATGCTCTCAGAGATAGCGTTAATCAAGCTGAGTACCTAAGGTGGCTCTAGACTGTTGCTCTGTGCTGCACAGTGTAAAGTGCCTTCTGGCAGGACTGACTGTCTCTATCAGAGCATTAGAAAGAATACTGCTTCTTTCTGCTGTTAAGTATAGCATAGGTACAAACCAGCGCCTGGAACAGGAAAAACTACAGCAAATACATTACCTCCATGAAACACAAATATATAAATACTTTATTTACTTTAAAAAAAGCCTTTAGTACATAAGTGCAAATGCCAAAAAACACCTTGAGAGAGGGCATTTCTCCATTCCAGCCCCATCTGCCCTGTGGCAGGCGAGAGGACAGCTATGCTTCTGAGAGCAGCTAAAAGCTGACTGACACCCCAACTAAACACACAATACTCAGTCACAGCAGTTTGGCTTATCAATAGCCAGGAAGTGCAGGTGCACTTCAGTGTGAAAATCCTGGCTTAAGATGTGTGTTGGACAACTTTAATATATTATGCATACCCAAGACATAGAAGATCAGGAACAGTTATCAAGACTTCCTGAATTTGAGAATAGTAAGCATTTCTATTCCTGCTTGCCTGGAAAGTGCTTTTGTTCCTTCTAAGCCATATTTCTTCATTGTTTCCAGAATTTCATCTGTAATTAAACGTGCAGGGTTACAATCAAGCTTGCATTTGAATCACCTATAAACAACAGTGCTAAAATCTTTGTCAAACATAACTTAAAACCTTTGCCTTGCAGCTTGTCAATTTACTCTTTCAGAGAGTATTTTTGTGCAAAGTAGTCTTTTACCAAAAACAAATAACACTTTACTTTCTACTGAAGTACTGTATTTTGGTGTTTGTTTCAAATGTATGTAGCAGCAAATCAGTTATGAAAGTATAAGTGAAGTTTCTATAAGCGAAACTGAAATTCATTACATCTCTCAAAGCTCCCTACTCAGCTGTGAATGAGCGATCTGAAAGTTATTTCACAATGTGCATATATTAAGCATTAGATGCAGAGTGCAGCTATAAGAAACTTAATCTTTTCTATACACTGTTCAAAATGGAAACATCTCACTTGCAAATTAAGGTATATAACATGCTTCCCCTCTCATCCCCAAAACCCCTTTTCTGTGAGAAAGGATTGCTTTGCTACCTCTCTCAGAATAAGATATAGAGCCAGGTTGCAGACCTGCAAATAGTCTTGTAGAGATGTTGGGTTCAGGACATACCTATTATTGTTTCCTCCAAAATAAATTACGGAACAGTGAATTTTATGCCTTTACCACCCACAGAACCCACGTTCATGAGAAATGATTCAAAGAGGCATCAAGTTATGCAAAAGTCCCTCTGCAGATTAATCACCCTAGTAACCTGAAGAGGAGCACATGGCTCAGAGGGTGGCCATAATTTATATGAAGCACCCAATAAATACGAGCTACCTCTAGCACTCCTGAAGGATTAATGCAGAATGGCTTCTATGTGAATATTAATGCATGCTGTCAGTCTTCAATGACCACTATTACCACATATTAGATTAAAGTGATATTGCATACTTTTTTGTTCACTAGTCAGTTTGATAACTTATAGATCAGATGAAATCTATTTTGGCACATTTAAGGATTCTGTGAAAATGATCACCTGGATTATTTTCTTTAATTGTGACCAAGTAGAATAATCCTTCTGTTGAGAGCAGGTCTGCTACTAATGGAAAAACCTTGTCCATTACTTCCCGGCCATTTTTGCCACCAGCCCAGGATGCCTCTATTCCACGGCTTCCCACCTAGGAATAGTTGAAGCAAAGATTGTCTTACTTAAAATTTCCATTTCTGTCATTCTTTATTAAGAGAAACACCACCATAGTTTCTATCCTTATCTGTCTGCCATTACAAATCTGACAACTTTAATTCAGCAAAATTACTTTTCATTCAGCAAAAATACCTCTTTTTTCTGCAAGATGCTACTTCTGTTCTAACTGAAAGAGCTGCAATGTGACATGTATTACATACATTTTTCTTGTAATACTTTGCTCAATGAAAGATGATCAGTAAACTGTTTCTGTGTGGTAGATCAAGTTCTGAAAGACTCAGAAATCTATGGAAGCAGAGGATATTTATTTTGCGGAACAAAACATGCATTTTCCATTGAAGGTCTTCTACATGAGTGCCTTATTAAGATTCATTAGTAACAATTGCACTGTTTATACTTGATGGAGAAATTATGTTTTGAGAAGCAGCAGCTAGTGATACTTCTTCCCATTTAGTCTTTAGAAGCTCTAATAAGCTTTGAATCTTTAATAAGCTCTTAACTCTAATTTTCACTGAAAAGAGTTGTTACAAGTCCTGGCTCCACAACACCCTTTACTCTCTTTCAAAAACACTACAAATTAATGAGAAGCAGCTGAACAACTGCAAGCTTAGCTTTCATACTAGAACTTATTTTATTTACTGTGTATTCCAACGCCATAAACCCCATTTTGCTTCACATTTAAGGTCCATTTTTTCCTACCTCTTCAGAAGGTGTTACCACATATGGTGGATTAAACAGCAGGAGATCAACTTTTCCATTTAATCTTGGTGACAATCCTTTGACCTACAGATGAAATTGATGGTTCCTTGCTTATTTTCTTTGATACTTACAGAAGACAAACATTTTGTAACAATAATATCTAGTATATCGTACTAGATATTTGCTTATGAATTTAAACAGCCACAAAGATCAACTTAAAAAAAAAACAAGCAAAAATCAAAATGCAAAGTTTGTTGCATTAAGCTGCCAATCATTCAAGATTATTCTGAGAAGAATGAAAAATTCAGATCTGTAGAGCATAACTAGAAAGCACATAGTACTTTTTTATTATTATTTATAGTTACAGATTGTCTTCTGTGAGAAAATAGACTACAAAGTTGGATGAATTCACTACTCTTCCAGAAGTCTAGTTCACCAGTCTTTTCTAGTCTTCCATGTTACCATTCTGGAAAGCAAGCTATTTATCTGTGCTACATGTGTCCACTACTGTTGGATTAGAACTATATTTGAATCTTTGTCACTTATGGCAACTTATAGGAACTGTTTTTCTTGTAGATTTTATGGTTACTTTTGATATCGATGTATGTATGTGTATGGATTACAGGAGTACCTCTTGAATACTTCATAAATACTTTATAAATTTATTTTATAAATACTGGCATAATACACAAAATATTACTGCAGATCATTAGTATCTATGTGTACATATCTGAGATGACTAGAAGCAAATCCTCGTTAAGTATTAGAAAAATTACAAAAGAAAACATTACAGAAATCTGTACCTTACCAAGTCAGTAATTATCGGCTGAAGTTGAACATTGTTAATCAGGGCTGTCTCCAGTGTACAGTAAGCTGCCATAGGATTGATATCTGTACACCTGAAAGAAAAATGTTATTGATTGCTGTATCTGGAAATTTAACAGTGGAAACTGTTGCTAACTAATGAATACTCTTCAATGCAAAATTTCTCAATACCCTTTACTTTGCAAGTAAAGAAGAAGAAATATCCCATAAAAACACACAAAGTGTATCAGCAGCTAAACCATTAACACTACATTGAAAGTATTTAATGATTTTTTTTCTGAGTCTATTCCCAATATAATAAATCCCTGAAGAAAAACTTACATAAACTCCCCATTCCACTTACAATGGGTACTTTGGGAAGTTTAGTATGAATAAGGGGTAATGCTAATTTACCAGACAAGTTTATTTTTAAATGAAAAACTTTCACACTCAGACAAAAGAAATTGAACAAAACTGAAAATCCATCTATGAGGGCAAGAAAGAAAACAGTCGTTAACCCTGAGTAAATTATTATTATTTCCCAAAACACTATTCCCAAAATTCTAGTATTCAAAATCTAGATAAGAATATTTTGTGAAATCTAAAAGAATGACATTTATATTGCTGTCTGATGGACTACGACATCAAGTTATCTGACAACCAAATACCTACCTTGTACCTTCTTAAACAGTAAATTTAGAGTACGTACTAGGAATTTTTATTAAATAATTGCCATCCAAACACTGAAAAGAACACATCATTTTGGTTCTCTATGCATTCATATAATCAGATTCACATACACATTATGAAAAGAGAACTTAAGGTTGATAGTTAGGTTGCACATAAATGCAGAGTTGTATTTGTATCTATAGATGAACAACAGAAGTACCTAATTAATCACATGTTGTTTTGCATACCCAATGTTACACCAGTTATCTGTGTTTTATTCTAAATATGATCCCTAACTGATTTTTTTGGCTTTCAAACAAAAGAGAACACATACTAGAAACTCATATTAAACATGACTGTCTGAGAGTTGAAGTACTTGTAAGATTTCCTTCTCAATACCAGCTCTGCTAGTTTTTAATAATATTAAACGCACTTCCTTCCAACACCCAAGGAACAAATTAATGACATGCCATTAAAACACAGTAAGATTGGGCACTGATTGAAATTCAGGATTCAACCCAACAAGAAGTCTAGACTGGGGAAAAGCGAATTCTACCACTACTGAATCACTGCAGAACCTTAAGTAGTTCTGAATCTCTCTGCTTTGATTTCAGCATCCTAGAAAATCAGACTAGTATTTCCCTGTGAAAAAGGTAGCTTTAAATAGTGATGAAAGTGGAAAAAATAATATTATATTGTCAGTGCTAAATATTCATCACTATTAACAGTTTAACTGCTATTATACTTACATTATTACACTCACTATTACACTTACATGTAGAGTGCACTGGGTCCAATAATGGAAGCCACAAACGCTGAAACCACACCAGACCCACATCCTATTTCAAGGCAGATCTCAACTCTAAATGTGAAGAGAGAAAGCTATGGACACATTTTCTGTAACACTTAAGAGCACCTCCACCAAACAGGCACTGAATTAGTCAAGGCAGCACTTAAAAAAAAAAAAAAAAAAAAAAAAAAGAGCTTAAGTGCCAGACTTTACCCCATCACGCCATAACACCTCCTGATCACACCATCTCTAAAGCCTGCGTGGTAGGACCTGGTTCACAATTGCCTGAGCCCACAGAATGAGAACAACTCCAGGCTTTCAAAAAACCTGTTCAGAAACCACAAATGTTTCCTCTGTGCCTAACAGCAAACTTTCATTACCTACACAATTCTGACAGTACAGACTATTTTCTCTGCAATAAGGTTGAACTCCAGCAGAAGTCAGATTAGTGTGAAACACACAGAAAGCTGGACTCAGGTGCAGAATAATTCAGAGGAGCTTGGGCCAAACTCTGGACTGAGTAGCAAGAGGTTACTTCATAATACATGCTTACAATAGGATTTCCTTGACGATTCCTATGGGACTTATTACATTTACGTAAAACCATTTTAGCAGAGAGCAGCAAATCACCACGCGCCACTTGGGCTCAAATTAAGACATTTCTACCACTTTCCACCTCCCCC